ATGGGGTGGTGGGGGGCGAGGTGCACTGGGAGTCAGGTAGAGGGGCCATTGTTTTCAGCTTCCCCGGGGGAAGGTGCCTGTAGAAGGTGGGCTGGAGGGGGTGGAGTGCAGCAACGGAGGCTTTGGGGGTACCAAGGTCCCAGGGGGCTGTTACGCCGGGTTGAGGGAGCAAGGCCACGATCAGAACGGGGGCACCAGGGGGCCGTTTGCCCATCTCCCTTCTCTGTCTAAACTTCAGTTGCTTCCTACCAATAACGGGCCCTGCTCCACGGCCTGTGGAAGCTAACCTCTGCCCCTCCGGGTGGGCATGGAGGGGCCTCAGGCGGGGAGCAGAGGCTGAGTGCTAGCTGGAGGCCTGGCACCGGTCACACGAGGTTGAGCGCCCCCTCCCCCGCCTGGCCCTCCGGAGTGGGCACGGTCGTGTTCCAGTCCTGGCGCCTGCATCTCCAGCTCCAGACGCATGTGACTCAGCCCTGCCGACTTTGCCAAGCCGTCTAGACCCGAGTGTCTCCCTACGGAGGGGGCCATCCAGCCCGCCATTTCCTCTTCTGCTGCCCCCGGGGCGCCTGAGCCCCAGCACACGTGCGGGGAGGGGGGCCTCCCTTCCCCTCCCCTCCCCTCCCCTCCCCTCCGCCCCTGCCCCCACCGTGCTGAGTTGCCAGTACAGCACAGCGCAGCCACCCCTCACCCCTCATCTGGCGGCGGAGGCAGCAGTGCATCGCAGCCTGGGCCGCTGCAGATGGGGAGCATGAGGGCTGGAACTGGGATCCCAAAGGCCTCCAGGAGCCCAGGCTGCCCCCCTCCCCACCCCATTTCTGGAGCCTGGCTCAAGACGGCAAGTGAAGACTGACCATGGCCTCCCCCACTCGACTTTGTTTATTCTCACCCCTGGATCTATGGGGGCGAGGAGCAGACTCATAAGTCATGGGTCCACCCCCAAATATGCAGCCTGGCTCTGTCTACACCCCCAGAAATACCTGCAGAGGGGATGGACCTCACAGACCCTCACAGACCCTAGAAGTTGAGATCCGATCCGGACCCTAGGCGTGTGAAATGTGCCCTTGCAGAAGGTTGTGGCCTCGGACGTGCTGCCTCGGTTCGGAGGGCCCTTCAGCAGCAGGAGGTGAGGCTGGGGCTCTGAATCAGGAGGCCCAAGGCAGGCCTAGGTTTCCTTAGGGTTCCCATGGGCAGGGAGCCAGCTGCTCCCGCCTTCCGTCACCACGGTCCCTGCTCTGGCACAGGGACCAGAGCTGATAGGAAGAGGACGCCGAGTTCCCAGGACAGCCTCTCCATCCTCATGTGCCAGCCTCCTCGTGTCCACACAGAGCTCTAGAATGACAGACAGCCTTCTAGAATGGGTCACCACCAGTCAGCTCGTAGGTTGACTGCTCATCCGTCCAGTACTTGGATGGGAGACCACTAGACTCCCCCACGCCTACGCTTGTGGCAGGCTCACATCTGTCAGGCCCACGGTGGCGGCTCTGGAGTCCTCTGGACTTGCTGGACTCCAGTAGTGTGCGTGCCTGGCCGGGCCGTCCCCGGGGCCCTTAGGTGGGTGAGTAACAGCCACCTGAAGGGAAGTCAACATCACCCTTGTTCCGGCAACGCTTTAGGCCTTGTCGCCCATGTGGCAGTTTGGGGTCTCTGCAGTCTTTGTGGCTGTCCTGGTCTCATTTGCAAAAGCCCTTCCCGCTTTTCCAGCCCCTCCTCCCATCTGTGTGAAGACGGCTTGTTTTGAGCGGGCTCCTGGCTGGCGCACATGGTGTGGGCTGGCTTCAAGGCTGGGCACCAGGGTGGATGGTGACCCACAGCCCAGCACAGTAGCTCCGTCAGGGCCAAAAGAATGAAGGTAGGGAGGGAGGAGGGGGAGAGGGAGGGGCAGAGGAGGCAGCCTTTGCTGGTGGAAAGTCTGGACCTCAGACCATCCTCAGCCTGACCTCATTGCCCTGTCTCATTTCTCCCCCAAATCCAGTGTCAGGAACTGCCACTTACTTCTCCCGCCGAGTGGAGAAGAACTGAATTCTTCCTCTGAAATGTCACACACACTCACCACTTGCCTTTTCTTCAAGAGCCTGCATTTGGTGCTCACCAGGGGATGTGGTGAGGAGTCTTTCCGTCTCCTCTCCCTACTGGAGAAGGGGAGGGGAGTGAGGAGAGAGGGAGTTGGAGGGGGCCTCTGTCCCTCAAAGGCGCCCCTCTTTCAGGGGTAGGAGTTTCTGGGGAACAAGGCCTTCAGCCCCTGTCAGATGCAGCAGAAGCCAGTCTGCTTTCTCTTCCTTGACAGAGAGGCAAACCTTTGAATTCCAGCTTCCTGCGATTGGCGGTGTCTGCTGGGGGCCTGGGGGGGGGGGCTGGTTAATACTTCCCCTGAACCCAGGGGTCTGTTGCTAAAGATGGCTTGAACATTGCAGCGACGATGCTCTCAGGGACCTTCCTCTTGCCCTCCTGCCCTGCATAGCTCCTGCCAACAGCTGCTGCCCCCGGGCAGGGAGGCCATTGGGTGAAGGCATCTGCTTGGCTTACGTTTCTGTGCCCACTGCGCAAGGCGAGGTCCCTCATGTGGCTAGCTGCCTTGGCCTCCACTGCCTGCCAGCCCATCCCTGGCACAGTGGGGCCAGTGCCTGTCAACTGGCCTCATTTTCCAACCTGTTTTCCAAGTACTGACACATGGCTGAGGCCCTGCTGGGACCCACGGCCAAGTTTCCCCCACGATCAGGAGGCTGGCTCTTGTTGCACCAAGTGCCTAGGCCTGCCGGGGGACCCACACCCTTCACCGATCCCCTACCCCCACCCGACCCCCTCCTAGGAGGATGGGTCCTCCAGCCGCATTTTTGGCCCCTTATCCGCCCAAGCCTCCTTCATAGAACACAGGGGATTTGGGGAGGAATGCCCTTCAGAGGGCTGTCCTGTCCTTCCTTACGCTAGTTAGCCACGCTTTCACATCCCTACCCACCTCCCTGGACTTGCACACCTCCCAAGACGGGGAGTGCTCTCCCTTTCCAGGCAGACAGCCAGTGTTTAGACACTTCTGGGAGAGGTGCTTCCTTGTGTTGAGCTTGAGTCCAAGTTTCCAGACGCTTCTACCAGTTGGCCCCTTCTTTCCCCCCTCCCTGAGGGGCCCAGCAGCCTCTGTTCCCAGCCCAGCCTCCTTTCCAGTGGAGGGTGCTTGGGAGGCACCATTCTTTAGGGGTGGTGTGCACAGGAAGGCTGCGGCGTGCTGCTGCATCTTCAGCAGCCAGCTCCATGAGCTGAGGGCTAGCCAGCACGTCCTCCATGAGGGGGATGGACCCCTTGACCTCGCAAGGTGGTTTTCTCCCTTCGAGGCCCTGCCAATCCCTCCACGTCCCACCCCATGCCATGGATAGAGCTGCTGAGTTTGGGGAAGGGCTGCTTAGACTACTGGCTCCATCAGGCTGGGTGGAGAAGGGGAATTTTCTTCCAGAATACACAGGGGCTGGTTTCTTCCTGATCCTTAGGAGCAGAGGATATGGGGAGGGTGGGGGAGGCCACCACACTGCTGTGGTTTCTCCCGCCAAATTCCCCAGTCCTAGGAAAGATCCACAGAAAAACCCACAAGAATTTGAATGTCTGAGCTGGGGCTGTGATTGAAATGAAATTTTTAAAAAAGAAAGAAAGAAAAACAAAAACAAAAAAAAGAGAAAAAAAATTTTTTTTGAGAACAACCCAAAGCCCCTACAGCCTTCTGCTGCCAGAAAGGCCGGAGGTAGCAGCCATGTTGGACAGGGGAAGGGGCCTTAAGGTGCTTTGTGTGTCCCTTCAGCTCAGTTCCAAGGCACTTGTGTCTTCAGAATAGCTTGGGATTCCAAAGCAGTCAGTAGGCAATCAGGCCCTGCCCCCAGAAAGTACAAAGTCAGGCTGGGGTCTTTTTCTGTTAACCTAGACTCCTGCGTACCCCCTCCTCATGGGACACAGCTGAGAGCCCTTGGCTGTCACTCAGATAACTGCAGTTGCGTCCAGTCAGGTCCCTGGGTCTCCCTGTCTCTAGACTTGCCTCTTGATCCCTCTCTGCAGGAGATGGCCAGACAGGGCACAGAGGAGGGACAGGCTCTGGAGAGGATGTAGCTGATGGCAACTGCCTGCTACCATCTCCGATGCCCCCGGGCACCAACCACCCTTCAGCTCCTTCCTGCCTCCTCCGATCAGCAGGGCCCCGGATGGGGGCGTTGGAGGTCTCGGGGCAGATGGGTTGTGAAATTTCATTCCAGACTTATTGAGTTGGAGGGCTGTGAGAGATGCAAAGAACTTTATAAGTGGACAGGGCGGGAAGGAGCCACGGAACCTTCCGGGAAGATGAAAGAGTTGGGGAGGAGGAGGGGGAAGTAGCAGGGCCCCAGCACAATAGTGAACGTTTACATAGTGCTTTGTATGTGCCAGGCATTGTCAGAGGAATTATTCCCTCATTCCCTCCTCATAGCAACCCAAAGAGGTAACTGCTCTCGATATTCACCATTAGGTGAGGGCAAGAAGGCACAGAGAGATTGCGTAACCTGCCCAAAGTGATCCAGCTAGTGAGTAGTGGGGCCGGAATGGAACACAAGAAACTTTCCTCTAGCTACAGCCGTGAGCGTGGGAAACAAGAGACAGAGCCCAGCGCAGGGAGCTGGACGCTCAAGCCTCACTTACGTCCCACGCGCAAGGCGCCTCTGCATCCTCCAGAGAAGCCGACCAAGGCAGGAGCGCCCTCTCCTGGAGAAGTCTCGTCCGGACGCCTCCTCCGCCCAGACCGCTAGCACAAGCGAAGCGAGCAAGGCGGCCACGGAGAGCCAGGCCACGCCCGCCCGCGCCCCGCCCCTTCACCGAGGCCGGCCTCCTGGGTGGGGCCGCGGCGCGCGTGGAGCGGCGGCCCAATGAGGGCGCGGGGATGGGGGGGGCGGGCGCAGGCAGGAGGGCGGGACGGGCGCAGCGCTTTGGGTGTGATTGGCGGCTGGGCCAGCCTTTGAGTCTGAGGCGGAGGCGGAGCGCGACTCAGAGCGCGAAACATGGCTGGGCTAGGTGCGGGCGGCGACTGCGGCTGCTACCGGGACGAAGGTGAAGACGACGTGCTCAAGGCGGCCGTGGAGGTGTTCGGGAAGCTAAAGGTGCCGTGGACCTGGGGAACCACCTGGGACAGCGGCGGCCGGGCGGCGGGGAGGGCAGGGCCTACAGCGGAAGTCGGTGGCGCGACGCGCACCACCCGGGTGTTAGCTCCGGGCTTCGGCCTGTGTCCCGCTGCAGGGGTGGCTGTGGGGCACCTGTCTCCGCATCTTGGGCCTTCATGCTTGCCTTCTTTGTGGTCCGTGCCTGGTAGTTCGGGCTGGCGCCACGCGAGTGCTGCTCCTTAACTTGTGCTGCAGGAATTCTGCGGGACCTGGCTGGGCGCACGAAGCAGATGCAGACGCGGGGAGGGCACGGGCCCTGGCCTCAAGGGGGAGACGGACGGGCGCGGGCCGTGCCACCCTGTCGAGTGGGCGTCAGGTGCCGGTGGCGGCTGTAGTAAGGAGACCCGCCCCGCCAGGTCCGACCGCCGACCGGGGTCCCGCATGCCCTGCTTCTGCTCCGTCCCACACCTCGCCGGTCCCCGTCCCCTCCCCACCAGACCGGCGCTACAGGCCCTATCACTCGACTTTCCCTTGGGTCCCCTAGCCGGGACCACGGATCAGAATCTTGGAATCTCGTCAAAGCCCCAAGTTGCTACTAGGTTACACTGCTGTACCAGCGCGGAGGGGGCGTACTTGAGGACGCGGGGTGGCAAGTGGGCTGAGAATGAGGGGGATTGAACTCTGGGCAAGACGGAAGGACAGTGGGAGGGACGGCCGCTGCTGGCCGGGCGCCCGCGGCGGAGGGGGTGGGGAGCGCGTGTGCTCACCTGCCTGGTGTGAGGGAAGGTGCGTGGAGAGCATGAGCGCCGAAGTGCATCTCACGCCTTCGGCCATACCTCCTAAAGCTTCCTGGTTTTCCCTTTCCTTTCTTAGGACCTCAATTGCCCGGTGCTGGAGGGTCTTTATATCACAGAACCCAAAACCATTCAGGAACTGCTGTGCAGTCCCTCGAAGTACCGCTTGGAAATCCTGGAGTGGATGTGTATTCGGTAATGTCTTCGTTTCTTCCTGCCAGTCCCTGGGGTATACCCGGTGCCACTCAGCTCACGTGGGGAAGGACTGGGGGGTGTATCTTTACAAGCAGTGGTGCTCCCAGAGGACTCCACGCCCTAGCCCTGAACATCTTGAGAACAGCTGTTTGGGAAAGAAGTGCCAGCCGCGAAAGTCGTGCTCCAATTTGCCTTTGGAAGTGCTGCCCCCACCCCCACGCCAGGGCTCTAGCTGGGCCATTTGCTGCCCTGCTAAAGTGCTGCGTGGTGCTTGTGAGTGTTCTCGCTCTACTTTTTCAGAGTTGGCAAGGCCTCCGTCCTTTCATTCTCAGACTGGAGTTGTGAACTGCCTTACGTCTCTCCACTGAGGAGGTACAACCAGGGCCGAGACCCTGTTTCCCAGTCCTTCAGGTCAAAGTGTGCCCTGGTGTGTGTGCCTGGCACTGTGCAGGGGAAGCAAAGCCTGCCCAGATGGCAAGGGGAAAGATCCAGAAAGTCTTAAGGGATGTCTCTTCCTTAGGAGCAACAGCCCCTGAGCTGAGCATCTGTCTTAAGGCTGCAGTGCAGAAAGCTTGGCCAAGCGTCATGGAGCACAGCCTCCTGTGCTGTTGCCCATGACCCCACGGCCCTCTGTGGAGCGGCCATGGTTGGTCCGGGAGTCCCTCAGGCGGCCAGGTGTGGGCTAAGGAAGATGCCTGGCCAGGTGCCTGGTACTGGAGCACCCACCTGGTGCACCTGCCAGGACACAGGATGTCAGCAGGCCTGGCCCTGGGTTGGGTGTCCTACGAATGGCTGGGAGGGGGATGAGGCATTTTCATGTTTGAGCCTCTGCATTTCCAGAAGCCTGTCCTGTCCTCCAGGCCACAAAGCACTTTCATAACCTTTTCTCTCCCTCCTGGAAATACCCTTCGGTCTCTCTGCATGTTACACATTCCCTTACATGGCCTTCAGAGACCCAGCTCACACGTCCCATTCCTTTTAAAGTAGCTTCCAGGGGCGCCTGGGTGGCTAGTCACTCGAGCATCCAGCTCTTGATTTCAGCCCTGTTCATGATCCCAGGGTTGTGGGATCGAGCCCCATGTCTGGCTCCACACTGAGCATGGAGCCTGCCTGAGGGTCTCCCCCCTCCCTTCCCTCTCCATCTGCCTCTCTCCCCTCCTCACACGCTCTCTCTCTAACGTAAAGAAAACAAACAAACAAAACTCTCCAGCTTCCAGGGCAAAACATATCTGTCTTTCCCCTGGACACCCACCACCTTTGTAACCTACCACTGTCAGAGCGCTCAGCCCGGGAATTCTGTCTTGGCCTGCTGCCCTGCAGGCTCCGCAAAGCACTGGGAGCTGCTGGAGGGCAGGTAGCAGGCAGGACTGCTGTGTCAGCCCCAGGCTGCAGCATGGTCCGTCACCCCCCTGTGTCCTTCCTGGCGCCTCTGGCTCAGATGGATGTCCTCAAGGAGCTAGGGCTCTCATGCTGCAAAGGGCTCAGGCATGCACCCCAGTCTTGGGCACATCTCTGTGTTCTGAATGTTATGGATGTTGGCACGGAGGAGGTGGCATTTGATCTGGGAGGCGATAGGTAGTGGTGGGTGCTCATTTCAGCAGGGGTGAGGAGCTGACGTGTGGGAGGGATAGCTGGGCAGCAGTGCTCGGAATGGCAGCTTGGGGAGGCTCATGCAGAGCCTTGCAAGGCACGTGAGGGCCTTTGTATCTTATGTTCCAGGCAGGGCAAGCATGGAGCCACGTACTGAAGTTGGCATTTTCAGCAAGGTGACTCGGGGGTTCTGTGGTGGGTGAATTTGGAGGGGAGAGGCTGGAGGCAGGGAGACCAATATGGAGGCTGTTGTAACAGCCCTAGGATGGCAGGAGGCTGGCTTGGAATGACAGATGGCTCACGTGACAGTCACTGCCAGCCGTGGAAGGACCAGCGTGTGGTCCAGGAATCCAGGAGGAGAGGGTCTCGAGTATTCTCCCAGAAGGAGGGAGGCCGTAGCCATGTCTTGGAGAGGCTCTCGTGGATGGAGCCCAGATCTGCCTGGCCCAGTCTGATGCTGGGGACGGGGTCACGCTGCTGCCCAGAGAGGGATGTGTTGGGAGTGTATGGGTACATTCCTGAAGTGCTTTTAGTACTTTGATAAATACAAGAAGCTGAATTCTCTGAAGGAGTAGCCCGGGAACGTACAATTGCTTCTTAAGATTGCAACCTGGCAAAAGCACCCTAGGCCTTTCAAGGGCTCGAAAAGAGGATCAAAGAGATTTCAGTTTCTCCCACACTTCACGTTGGCTTTCTTTGCACATGGCTTCCCCGGTTCAGCTCTTGCCTACGGCCGCTTTGTTCGCCCCACTCCGGGCGGAACCTGGGAGCTGTAGCCAGCGTCGGCCCTGGGGCTTGACGTGCTGGCTCTGGCCGGCCCATGTGCCAAGCTGGCCCTCAGCGCGGGGCGGAACAGGGCCACCGGGCCCCCCGCGTTGCTGAATTCAGGGCGCCTGGGTTTCCTTGGCTCCTCGAGAGCTCTACTTTTCAAGGCCTTGAGTGCCATTCGTTTCTGTCCTGCTCCCTGCTGCCTCACGAAAATCAACTTTAATGAAAGCCCTTTCCGAGTGAGGTTGCTTAGGCTTTTGTGGATTTGTTCTTTAGTGTGTTGAAGTGGTTTGCTGTGGTCCGGCCTGATGGATTGCTGAGTGCTCTCCGCTCCTTGGCGCCTTATGAGTGGGAGCGTCGCCCAGCAGCCAGGCCCAGGGCCCAGCCTCCTAGCATTTCACAGGGCGGGGGCTCCTTCTTCTGCTCCTTCTGCCCCATCCCTTTTTGGCAGAAAAGTTGGCTGCCTCAGTGAGTCTTGAAGGCAGGCACTATGGCTGAGGCCCCCTCTCTGCTGTCGTCCTGCGGCGTGGGGCCCAGGACCTCAGGTTCAGCATGGCCATACCAGCTCCCAGGGCCCCGGTATTGTCAGGGCAGGTGTGGCCTGGGATGCAGGCATTCATTCGCAGGCATGGCCCCAGGGATGGAGAAGTGAGCCCGCTCCGTGCAACGGCTGCCGTGCCCTTTTCTACCATGCAAAGTCAGCAGATCTCTAGGGCTGGCAGGCCACCACACCATGATGGCAGAGTGGGTCCCGGCCCCTGCTGTCCTGTGGAAAGAGCCACGTCATCTTTCTCTGGGAAGGGCCAGCCCTGAGCCAACTCCTGAGGCTCCCTGGCAGGCAGGTGTTAGTCTCAGCAGCCTGAGTGATGTCCTTGCGGCCTCAGTGCTGCACTAGGCCTGGAGGTAGGGGTTGGGGGTGCGGCGTTCAGAATGTCCCGCCCTCATGGAGGAGACCCGGTGGTGGGCCCTGAGCTCTGTGTTCCTTATGACACCTGCCAGGGGATTGTAGCCCTTACTGCCTTTGGACGTGGTCTGTGTCTGGAAATGGTTTTGCCCATCAGCTCGGTTTCTAAGGCAAGACGCTCATGAGTAGCCGCTGTCCCATGTGTCTATCTGGTATTGTCAAGGCTGGGGCTCTCTGCTGGACCTAGGCGGGCAGCTGGGATTGCTGTCTCCCAACCCAGGAGGCTGGGGCTATGACCCCAGAGCCCATGACACAAGGAGTCCCCAAATGGTTTAAAGCTGTGAACTGGAGTAGCATAATCTCCTGCCGATTTAAGGTTTTCAAAAAGGAGAAAGCATCCTTCTGTTGAAAGAGGTAAGCATGGGCATTTACTAATGGCAGATTATTCCATGGCAAGAGGCTCTGGTTATTCATTGGTTAATGCACACCGGCTGCCTTTTCTGTGCTGGCTGCCTTGGCATTAGAGCCCAGATGTATGAAATGGAAAGCCGGCTCCTGGCCTCAGTGGGCCTGCGGTCTGGGAGGTGGGAGCTCAATGGGAGGACAGTCCCCAGCTCCTGCTGAGATGGAGGGATGCCAGGGTGTCTGTGGGCCTGGCCCTCCCCCTGCTTCCCTGGGGAGTTGATGTCAACCGTGGGCTGCTCACCATTTGAGCCAGAGCCAGCGTGCCTGGGCCAGGCGGGAAGAAGCGCTCCACGCTGAGAAGAGCGGACGCACGTGTGCGCATAGCCACGTGAGGGGACACCCAGGCAGGGCTTCAAGGACGCCCAGGCAGGAAGGACCTTGGTGGATGTCCTTCAAATGAACCTCCAGCATGGTTGAAAGAAAAGCCATCCCCTTGGTTCCTTCTGAGAAAGAGCTTCAAGCTCTGAGGAATTCAGGAGTTTCCTCTTGGGCGGTCATTTTGTTTATTGTGAGAATTTAAATTTCTGTATTCAAATCCACATTTCTGAGGTACACTTTCAGAAATATTTTGTATTTTTCCCCCCTGGTAATTTATGGAAGTGAAATTCACATCACATAAAACCATCCATTTCAAAGTGAACATTTTAGTGGTATTTAGCACATGCACAAGTAATTCACTTCTTTAGAGCATGTGCGGGGAGATCTCATGAGGAGTCTCTGTAGCCCGGTCAGGACTGACTGGTTTGGCCTTTTCCCTGCAGGGTCTGCCCCTCCTGGCAGGAGAAGTTCAGCACACTACAGGGGGCCCCAGTCGAGGTGAAGATCCAAGGTGAGTTTGCATTACAGGACTTCGGAGTTGTCGCTGGATTCTGGGCACTTCTGAGCTTGTGCATGGCGTCCTTAGCAAGCTGGAGTGAATTTCCCGTTGGACTGCTGTTTACTTCTGGCCGGTGCACAGCCTGGAGATCTTGCCAGAGCCTTCTAGAATCAGGGCACCCAGGGCACACTCTGTGCATAGGCAAGGGACCGGTTCTTGCCGATGCCACTGGTGGTTCCGCCCCTGTCTTGCTGCCCGGTGCAGCTCTCCGTGGGGCTTGTCTTGTAACTGCTTCTTTTTGATTCTTTGTTGGCAGAAATTACCAGGTTCTTAATCTGGTAGTGAACGTTAGGTAAAAGGGGGCTAAGGTACAGTCCTCACAGTACCTCAGTGGTGTCTCTGAAGGTCAGATTTTCGTGGGCCTGCATTTGGCCCATCTCCTCCAGAGTGGGCGACCTGGACCCTGAAGCCCCAGTGCAGGCCCAGGCTGTCACTGCCAAATTAATTATGTAGGGACACTTGTCCCCTAGGCTGAAATGGACCAGAAGAATAGGGTGTTGTGTCTTGGAGCACGCAGGACCGGCCTGGGCTGCACAGAAGTGCTGCCCTGTCCCCGGTGTCTTATGTCTGGCACTTTCTAACCGATGGGACCACGTCAAGGCCAGGTGAGCCTGGCCATCCGACTGCATCTGAATTCTTTCGCACATGCCCACACTCGGGTACTAACCACGCCCTTAAGTCCAGCCAAAGCCTCCACCTCGCCATTGCCAGCCTTAGTTTCCTCTTCTGCAGAGCTGGGGTGACAGCTTCAGCCTCGCCCACTCGTAGAAGTGTCAGGACAGGTGGTAGGACATGAGTGCTTGTCACAGGGTATAATTCTCCAAAGAGGATTTGGACAATTCATGAATTCGTTTGACCCGTATTTGTGGTGTCTCCCACGCACCTGGCATCGTTTTAGGTGCTGGCTGCAGCAGCAAATGGAGCTGCTCACACGGCACTTATGTGCCAGCCGGCAGACACAGGTGACAGGTGGAGGCAGCAAAGTTCTGTGCTGCCTGCTGGGAAGTGCCATAAACCAAGCCAGGTGAGGGCAAAGCAGTGGTGAAGGGGGCTACTGCGGATATAAGATAGTTGGGGAAAGCCTCTCTCTCTCTTTCTCTCTCTCTCTCTCTCAAAATATTTATTTACTTATGTTGAGAGAGAGAGAAAGAGTGAGTCTGAGCAGGGGAGGGGCAGAAAAAGAGAGGGAGAGAATCCCAACCAGGCTCCACGCAGTCAGTGTGGCAATGGGGCTCCATCTCACAAACCGTGAGATCATGATCTAAGCGGAAATCTTGGGTCGGATGCTTAACCGACTGAGCCCCCCCCCCCCAGGGTGTCCAAAGCCTCTTTTTTAAACACAGACTTGCAGGAAGGGAGGAGGCGAGCCAGGCAGATCTGAGGAAGAATAGTGTTCAGGGTAAGAGAACAGCAAGTGCAAAGGGCCTGAGGTAGGCTTGTGTGTGCCTTGCATGTGTGAGAAGCAGCAAGGAGGCCGGAGTGGCTGCTGCAGAGTGCAGAGCAAGGGAAGACTGGTGGGGTGAGGGCAGAGAGGCAACAGGGCCAGATCAGGCTAGGTCTGTGGGCCATGGAACGACAGCTTTTATTCTGAGGAAAGCTGTGGCCTGACTTACGCTTAAAGCTATGCTTTATAAGGGGCCTTACAGCTACTGAGCTGAGAACAGGAGGCCTGGGCAGAGGCTGGGAGACCCCGGGAAGGCTGTTGTAGTGCTGCAGGCAAGACACTGGCGGGAGGAGCACTGGAGGTAGAGTGCTGGCCAGTCCTGGATTTATCACGAAGGGAGGGTTGGGCAGACTCACGAAGACTTGGACGTGGCCTCCCTCCGCAGGGCACGAGGGTTTGGGGTTAAGGGGTGTGGGTAGAGTGGGCATGCCTGGGGGCGTATAACTGGTATTTGGACTGTGTTTCCAGGGTTACTAATGCTTTCACATGGATGCTCTGCTTGTTTCTTGCACGAAACCTTCCGAAGCAGATGCCAGAGTTAGGCCTGTTGTACAACTGAGCCATGTGGGGGTAGGAGATGGGCCTTGCTTATGAAGGAGTAAGGGCACAGCCACAGGGCTCGGTCAGCGGTTCAGAGCTGGCAGTGGCCCCAGGCTTTCTAGCTCCAAGTCCCGGCCTTTCTCTCTATACCAGATGGTTGCTCAGGAAATGCCCAGGGCACCGTGTAAGATGTGGCTGGGGACCATGCAGTGACTCAGTTTCCCAGTCTGTAAAATGGAGCTGAAGTCCAGCTCCTAGAGTTCCAGCAAGGTGAAAGGAAGTGATGATGATAAAGGCCTGTAGGAAATTGACACATGTGAGCCAAGGTTCCTTTTGCTTTGGCCAGGCAAGTTCTCTGAAAGCGTGGCATACAGAGACTTTGGAAGGTTCCCTGACCTCTCTGTCAGCTCCTTGGGTGGCCGGCTGGCTTCTCCTAGAAGCAAGAATACCTTATTTGGTTCACATCAGATGTGACTCCCTATTTTCAGCCCAGGAAACTGATGCAGGTCACACAGCCAGAGGCATTCCTGGGCATGCTGCCCTCCCCACCTCCCTGTCCACCCAGGCCTTCCGGGCCCAGCTGGAGCGGGAGCACTCTCCCCGGAGTGGCGCTCGGCATGCTGAGTGTCGGTGTGCCCCTGAGCGCACGGCGTCCCCTCCTGCCTGGGTGGGCGTCTGCAGTAATGGGGTCCTTGTGTTCTGACAGAGATGGTGAGACTAGGCCAGGAGCTGATGCTGTGTGGACTGGATGACCAGGACCTCCTAAAGGTAAGAGAGGGTCCTCTCTGTCCCCACAGGCTGGGAGCCTCAGTGAGGCTGGGTTAGGCGTGGGACGGGTTTCTTCCCTCTGGCCTTTGCTCCTCAGGCCGGGGAGCGAGCATCCCCAGCCACTGTTCCTAAGCCCCCTGGGGCAGGAATCTGTAGGATTCCCTTGCAGAGACCCCAGCCACCCCTAGGGCTAAGGGGGGTGGGGAGGCAACTGAGGAGGCCCGAGGCAGATCTCTGGTTATGGTGACTGAAGGGACAGAGCACATCCTGTCCTTGGTCAGTGACTTCATGTACACTGGCACTGTGGTAGGTACTTTATATGTGCCAGTAGCACACTCGCCCTTGGCAGTAGGTACTTGTCTTAGCCCCATTTCACAGGGGAAGTGTCAGACAGCTTGCTCTCGGTCACCCAGGAACAGAGCCTGACCTCAAACTCAGGCCCCTGGTCCAAGCCCATGCACTTTCCCTGACTCACTGCCCCCCTCCCCCACCTGCCACCACCTTCTATATAGAGGTGGCCCTAATCCACACCCACATCAGTCAAAGGAACCCTACCCCTACCCTTAAAATCTTGTCAAACTTTTGAAATAATTATTTTCACATTTTGGCTCTGAAATAATAATATGAATGTCAGTGTATATGTGTGTAACTGAAGACATGTTTTCAATTCTCCTGGGGTCTATAGCTAGGAGTGGCATCGATAGGTCAGTGTAGCAATTGTACCTTTAACTGTTTGAGGAACGTTGTACCAAACTGTTTTCCAAAGTGACTGCACCATTTGACACGCCCACCAGCGGTGTGTCAGGGTCCCACTTTCTCCACATACTCACCAACTTCTGTTCATCTTTTTGAGTCCAGTCATCCTGGTGTGTGGGAAGGGCTCTCCCGTCGTGGTTGCGATTTGCATTTCCCTGGTGGCTAATCAGGGTGAGCATCTTCTTCTGGGCTTATTGGCCATTTGTAGATCTTCTCTGGAGAACTATCTATATTCAGTTCTTTTGCCCACTTGTTAGTTGGATTGTCTTTTATTGAGTTGTAAGAATCCTTTATATATTCTGGATACAAGCTGTGTCACGTATTTGATTTACAAATATTTTCTCCCATTCTGTGCATTGTCTCTTTACTTTCCTGAATCGTACTCTGGAGCACAAAAGCTTCTAGTCTTGATGCAGTCCAATTTATTTATTTTTTTCTTTTGTTGCTTGTCCTTTTGGCATTATAGCTAACAATTCGTTGCCAAATCCAAAGTCATGAAGATGGATACTTCTCTTTTCTTCTAAGAGTTAAAAAAAATTTCTTTTTAGTGAGAGAGAGAGAGAGAGAGAGCGGGGGAGAGGGGCAGAGGGAGAGAGAGAATCTTAAGCAGTGTGGAGCCTGATGCGGGGCTTGATCCCAGGACCCTGGAAATCAAGGGACCTGAACTGAAATCAAGGGTTGATGTTCAACCAACTGAGTCACCCAGGCGCTCCTCTTCTAAGAGTTTTGTAGTTTTTAGTTCTTACGTTTAGGTCTTGGATCTATTTTGAGTTAGTTATGGTGTGAGGTATGTGTCCAACTTCATTCTTTTACATGTGACTGTTTCGTTTTCCCAGCACCATTTATTGAAAAGACCATTCCTACCTCACTGAATTGTCTTAGCGTCCTTGATGAAAACCAGTTAACTGTAAATGTGAAGGGTTATTTCTGGATTCTCCATTCTGTTCCATTGATCTATGTCTGTCCTTATGCCACACTGTCTTGATTAGTGTACCTTCCTAGTAAGTTGTAACGTGTGAATCCTTCAGTTTTGCTCTTTTTAAAGATAGGTTTGGCTTTTATTAGCAATTCCATTGAATTTCCACATGAATTTTAGAATTGAATTTCCACATGAATTTTAGATTAAGCTTGTCAATGTCTGCAAAAATGCCAAGTGGAATTTTGATGGAGTTTGTATTAAATCTGTGGATCATTTTGGGGAGTGTTGCCATCAACACGCAAGTCTTTCTATTCATAAACATGGACTGTCTCTCCGTTTATTTAGGTTTTCTTTAATTAAAAAATGTTTTCAATGTTTTATTATTTATTTTTGAGAGAGAGAGAGACAGAGAGAGAGGGGGAGGGAGAGAGAGAGAGAGACAGTGTGAGCAGGGGAGGGTCAGAGAGAAAGGGAGATACAGAATCTGAAGCAGGCTCTAGGCTCTGGGCTGTCAGCACAGAGCCTTATGTGGGGCTTGAAGTCCTAAACCATGAGATAAAGACCTAAGCTGAAGTGGGACGCTTAACTGACTGAGCCACCCAGGTGCCCATATTTAGGTTTTCTTTAATTCCTTTCAAAGCTGTTTTGTAGCTTCCAGTGTATATATCTCAATTTGTTCCCAAGTATTTTATTCTTTATGATGCTATTATAAATGGAATTGTTTTCTTAATTTCATTTTTGTATTACTTACTGCTAGTGTGTAGAAATACAATTGATTTTTTTGCATATTGCTCTTGTACTCTGCCACATTGCCAAGCTTGTTTGTTAGCCCTAATGGTTTTTTAGTGGATTCCCTTAGGATTTTTTACATATAAGATCATGTCATCTGCAAATAGAGATGGTTTTATGTTTGCCTTTTCAATTAGTGGGTTTTTTGTTTCTTTTTCTTACCTAATTGCCCTGGCTAGCACTTCCAGTACAGTGTTGAATAGAAGTGGCAAGAGTGGGCATCCTTGCCTTGTACATGATTTAGGAGGAAAGCATTTGATCTTCACCACTGAGTATGATGTTAACTGTGAATTTTTCACAGATGCCCTTTTCAGGTTGAGGATGCTCCCTTCTCTTCCTAGTGGTTAAGTGCTTTTATCAGGAAAGGGTGTTGAATTTTTGTAAATGCTTTCTCCGCATTACTGAGTGGATTATGTGATGTTCCAAGTTTCCTTCTGGTATCCTTTCACCTCTGTCTGAATGATGGCCTTTAGCAATTCTTTTTTATTTTTTAATGTTTATTTATTTTTGAGAGAGAGAGAGAGAGAGAGAGAGAGAAGCAAGAGAGAAGGAGACACAGAATGGGAAGCAGGCTCCAGGCTCTGAGCTGTCAGCACAGAGCCCCACGCGGGGCTCAAGCTCACAAAGCTGTGAGATCTTGACCTGAGCCGGAATCAGTCAGATGCTCAAATGACTGAGCCCCCCATGCGCCCCTAGCAATTCTTTTGGAAGTGGTCTGCTGGGTCCAAATTCTCTTAAGAGTTGCCCTGTATTCTTGGTGGATACTGGTTACTGGGTTGGTAGTATCCACTTCTCCACAAGTTCCAGTGGGAAATCTGCAGTCATTTCAATAATTTTTCTCCTATGGGTCATGCATTGTTTTCCACTTGCTGCTTTAAAACTTTTTTCCCCTCTTTATCATTAGTCTAGCAATTTGTGCGTTTGCGGGAGTATTTCTTTGGCTTTCCTGTTTGGATTCGTTCAGTTTCTCAAATCTGTAAATTTGTGTCTTTTTCCAAGTTTGTCAAGTTTTCAGCTATTATTCCTTCAAATACTGTGTCTCCCTTCTGTATGGGCCTCCTACGACACACATATTAGACCTTTTATTATTGTATCATAAGTCCATGATACCCTGAAATGGTTTTCAGACTTTTTTTCTCCTCTGTTGCTCACACTGAATAGTTTCTGTGAATCTGTTTTCAAGTTCACTGACTCTTGCCTCTGTCCCCTACATTCTGCTGTTGTGTTCATCAGTGAGTTTTTTTTATTCCAGTTATTCTTATTTTCCAGCTCTAAAAAAGATACTTCTTGGGTTTTGTTTTTTTGTTTGTTTCCTTTTTAATTCTTTCTTGGGGGTGCCTGGAAGGCTTAGTTGGTTAAGGTCTGAATTTGGCTCAGGTCATGATCTCATGGTTTATGAGTTCAAGCTTGCATTGGGCTGTGTGCTGATGGTGTGGACCCTGCTTGGGATTCTCTGCCCCGACCCCCACCGCTCCGCCCCTTCCTTGCTCATGCTTGATTTCTATCTCAAAATAAATTTAAGCAGTATTAAAAATTTTGGTTCTTTGCAGATGTTTTCTGTTTTAACTTCTGTTTCAAGAGAGCTCATAATTCCTTATCTAGCATTTTTATGACTGCTTTAAATTTGTCAGGTAATTCCAGCATCTGTGTGCCATCTTGTGATTGGTGTCTCTTCACTGTCTTTTCTCGTGCAAGTTGAGATTTTCATGGTTTTCTTGATGTGCCAAATAATTTTGGATTGCATCTTGGACACTTTGCCTATGACTTTGACTCCGGGCCTTGTTAAATTTTATGAATAATGTTGATATTTGTGTTGTAGCAGGCACTTGACCTGGTTAGACGTCAGCTGCACGTTCTGCCTCCTTCTCTGGCCTGTGCTTCCAGAGTTGGCCCGGTTTCCACAGCCTTTGAGCTACTGTTCGGGCCCTTCCTGCATGTGCGCCACCCTTCGGCCAGCCTGGGATCTGGGTGCTGGTCTCTCCCCTGGTCAGGATGCTCATAGAGGTCAGATCTGCCCCTGCATGGGTGGGGGTGAGCCCAGGCATTCATAAGCAGATTTATGGGGTCACTTTCTCCACTCTGTCATTCCCTGTCATCTCTTTGATACTATCCGGTTCCTGGGGGAAGGGCTCTCCTTTGCCGCCCTGCAGCCATAAGCCTCCCACTTCTGTGGCTGCACCACAGTCCACAGTGGCAGGAGGACAGAGAGGAAGAAGCGGTAACAGGGTTTGTCCCCCTCCCCCATAGCTGCGCTGAATGGAGAGGAAGATTCCCTGCTCTCAGAGTCCTAGCTTCTACAGTTTTCTTTTAGCGGCCACCTTTGTTGCTGTGGCCACTGCTGCCATGTTATTGCCTGGGGTCTGGGATCACAGAGCAGAGGGAGAGAACAAAGGCTGGAGATCTCCCCTACTCTCTCTGACTGTTAGGGGTTTCCTTTTCTGGAGTTCTCTGTACCGTTATGCTCCCTTCTGGGTTCAAGCTGGGCTGAGCGCAGCTCCAGAGAGACCACAGGAGAGAACATGCTAGATCATCACCAGTCTCAATGGTAACCTAGGATTCTGGCATGCCTCCTTCACGTGCCTGCTGATACTTGCTCTCGCGAGACTATAGACACCTGCCACATGCATTCTGTCCCGCTCTGAGAGGGGAGCATTTACTGGGAGAGGAAGCTGGCCCCTCATCTTACCTGGAACTATAATGCCTCCCTTCCTTTTTATCTTTAAAGATTTTTTCATTGTGGTAAAATGCATAGAGCATAAGATTTACCAGTTTAACCATTAAAAAATTTTCCCAGCAAGCTCTGAAGAGTTCTATTCTTTTTTATTCTTATTTTTATTTTTTAATGTTTTTATTTATTTCTAGGAGAGAGAGAGAGAGCATGAGCAGGGGAGGGTCAGAGAGAGAGGGAGTCACAGACTCTGAAACAGGCTCCAGGCTCCGAGCTGGCAGTCAGCACAGAGCCCTATGCGGGGCTCTAACCCACGAACCTCGAGATCATGACCTTATCGAAAGTCGGACGCTTAACCGACTAAGCCACCCAGGCGCCCCATCTATTCTTTTTTAAAAAATATTTTTTATTGTGGTAAAATACATCAGATTTGTCATCTGAACTACTCTTAAGTGTACAGTCAGTGGCATTAAGTACATTCACATTGTTGTGCCGACATTGCATGCTCTATCTAGTTCCAGAACATTTTTATCACCCTAAAAGGGGATCCATGCCCATTAAGCCATCACACCCCATCACCCCCAGACCCTGGTACCCGCTACTCTCCTGTCTTTATCTCATATAAATGGAGTCATGCGGTATGTGCCCTTTTGTAATGGCTTCTTCACTTAGCATGATATTTCCAAGGGTCATTCATGTTGGAACATGGATCAGTACTTCATTCCATCTTATAGAATAAAAAATAAAAACAAAATCATTTATGCTGGCATTGTTGAGAGCTGGGAGTTGGTGGGGGGCATGGGAGAAAGGAGATAGGGGTGTAAGATAATTAGGTTTGGTGAAACCCTGTAGTCTGGAATTTGAATTGGGAATATCAGCATGAGCTCTTGATGTATTTTAACTTGAAAATTGTGTGTGTGTGTGTGTTTCCCTGCTTTATCCTCTTAAAAGGACAAGAACAATGACAGTCCCGTTGTAACAAAGGCCTGGGGCAGGAAGTGTACCAGTTGAGTCAGGGACACTTTGTTAGACAAGAGAACAAGGCAGGCATCCAAGACTTTACAGTTACATCTGAAGGACTCAGCAGGCAGCTAGCAATAGAAGCCCTCATTGGCCAGAGCGGGAACGTCCTGGGGATGATGAATGCATCGTAAGGCTAGTGTCTGCAGCAGACTGAGGCCTGGCACATTAATTCAAATCCATGGCTTGATAATATTTTTAAAGGTCATCTTGACACCAAAAGCACAAATTAAAAGAAAAACATTGATCAATTAGACTTCATTAAAATGAGCTACTCTGGTGCTTCAAAGGACATCAGGAAATTGAAGAGAATCCACAGAACGAAAGAAAATCTTTGTCGATCCTATATCTGATAAGGGTCTGGTATTCAGAATCCATAAAAAATGCTTACACCTCAATAATGATAAAACAAGTAACCCAACAGAAAAATGGGCAGGGAGATGCAGATCAAAACCTCAATGAGATCCCACTTCATGTACCGTGGCATTGGTGAGGATAAGCCCTAATTAATTGGTGAATGGATAAATAGGCAATGATGAAGAAAAAACTATTACGTGGATGAACCTTGAAAACATAATGCTCAGTGAAGGAAGCTGCATATGTAAGATTCCATTTATAGGAAGTGTCCAGAAGAGGCAAATGCATAGAAGCAGAGAGGAGGTCAGTGGGTGCTAAGGGCTAGGGATGGGGGGGTGTGCAGGGAATGACTGCTCATGGGCATGGGATTGCTTTTGGGGTGATGGTAATGTCCTGGGCTTACCTAGTGGCAAGGGTTGCACAGCTCTGTGACTGTCATAACAAGCCCTGAACTGTGTACTTAAAAAGGGTGAATTCATGGTGTGTGCATTGAACATCTCAATACAGATCACCAGCGCAGCTCACCGGAACAGAGCCCCTCTGGGAGAGGAGGGCCCCAGGCTGCTAGAGTGTGATCAGGGAGCCCACAGTCCCGGCCCTAACCCAGGCTGGCAGAGGCCGGGCATTCGGGGGGCTATCAGAGTCAAGGCTGTGCTGAGGAGGGCATAGCAGGCAGAGTGTCCCAGCCCTGGCCACTGGTCAAGGCTTTGTGAGGTCCTGAGTGATAGTTGCTCTCATGTTTCTGTCTGGGCTGTCTCCTGTCCAGACAGTGTCCCAACTCCCTCCTCTACCTTCACGCTGCCCTCAAGTGTGTCACTCGGGCTCAGCATCACTGAGGTAGATTGGGAGAATGAGTAAACAGGCGGTACTGACCAGGCTCAAGTACCCAGTTTTAGATCGAGAAGCTTCCAGAGTCACTGGTCCTGTTGACGTGGCTGCACAGCCAGGAGCCAAGCTTGTGAGGAAGTGCCAGGCAGCTGTAGGCATGAGGCCTGGCACCCATGGAGAGGGAGCTGGGCTGTAAACATAGCGGAGCATGTCCCCATTCCCAAATCTACCCCCCAAGCCAGGGCTGCCTAGCTGGAAATGGCGCCCAGAGCCGCACAGCCCTAGCACCACAGCCTGTGCCTTCCATGCCCACGTTAAGTGCAGATGCTTCTTGGAGAGCTTTATCGTGATGCCGGCTGAGCAAATTGTTCTGTTGCATCCCTCAGAAAGTGGGTCTGTCAGGGCAGCGGCCATGAAGATCTAAAATGGACAGGCAGGCCTCAGCCTTCTTTCTGATACCACTGCTCACACAAGGCTCTCAGGCCGGAACTCTCAGGTTGTAAGTGTTTGGGTCCTGTGAGCCTCCTCTCCTTCTTGAAGCCTTGAGTCCCTGGCCAGGCGGGTCCCTGCTGGGAATCCCAGCTGCCTTTGGGCCGGGGGTCTCTCAGCGGTGAAGTCTGGCCACGGGTTCTTCCTGTGAGGAGAACGGTTATCTCAGGCCACTCCTGGCTGCAGTGGTCAGTCTGCCAGGGAGAATAAGCAAGTTTCTGAGGAGCAGAGTGGCTTCAGTCCCTGTGGGCCGTGCTCTGCCTTCGGCAGGCCCCGCTGCGCTCCGCACACCCACCCAAGGAGCTGTGCTTTGAGACATTTGATGGGCACATGTGCTTGTACAGTCCTTTCTTTTTTTAAATGTGTTTTTATTTTTGAGAGTGAGAGAGAGAGAGAGAGAGAAGGGGAGGGGCAGAGAGAGAGAGAGAGAGAGAGAGAAGCCCAAGCAGGCTCTGTGCTCTCAGCGTAGAGCCTGACGTGGGGCTCGATCCCACGAACCACAAGATCATGACCTGAACCCAGATCAAGAGCCATACCCTTAACCGACTGAGCCCCCCCAAGTGCCCTGCTCCTGTATATTGCTACTGCACTTCCCAGAGCGTGGTCCCAGGCATCGTTGCCACCCAAAGCCGGGAGCACTCAATGACAGCAGCTCTGGAGGCCATGGTCCCCAAGCCAGTCCAAAATGCTGCTGGGTGGGGCACAGGGGGTTGCTGGTACAGGCCACTCCTTTCCACTGGCCCCAGCAGGGCAAGGTGTGGAGCAGGAGCCCCTTGGCACGTCCGGCCTAGTGAGTGTGTGCGCCCTTCCCTGCCCAGGGCCGGGCCTGTGCCCAGAAGCAGTTGCGCTTCATGAACCAGCTGCTGGATAGCGTCCAGAGCCTGACTGCCGCATGCTTCAGCTGCTCCAGGTAAAGGCTCAGGGTGGGCTCTCCGCACAATGGCCAGGAGGCACCCTTGGAGCTCTGTCTGGAGGTGGTAGTGCTGGGGGGCGCACTGGGCATCCAGGCCCACCACCACCTACGTCTCCAGCTGAGGTCTTACTCGCCACTCCGGTGGTGGCAGCTGTACACTGGTGTGCTGCGAGGTGTGAGCCCGGGAAGGATGCCCCCCTGGGACAGTGCTCACACTGCTGGGCTGTCAGTGTGAAGGTGCTTTGCAGGCCTCGGAGAAGATAGGCCAGCCTCTGGAGAAACGTGGGTGCCCATGCTGTCGCTGCAGGCAGGCAGGCTCTCATGGGACTGGGGCTTGGTCATGGCCACCAAAGCAGGGCAGGGACCGGGGGACACATCATCTCCTGGCCTCTCTGCCTGGTTTCGTTTTGCCCCTGGGTCTCCCCTGGGAGCCTGAGGGCTCCCTTGGCCAGGGGCCTCAGCAGATCTGCCAGCATGGTCCCTGGAGGCTGTGCTGTGGCCAGTGACAGCATGGCCTTGGGGCTGCCTCAGCAGTGTGAAGGAGCAGTTAGAGGACACCAGAGAGAAGAACGAGGCGCTTCTGGGGGAGCTCTTCTCCGGCCCCCGCCTGCAGACCCTCCTGAGTCCCGAGTGTGAGCCATGGCCCCTGGACGTTCAGCCCTTCCTCGGGCAGCAAAACAGTGACTGGCAGAGGTATGTGTCCCACTTGGTTCCGTTACCCGGGACAGACCCTTCCCCGTGTGGCCTGCAGGTGCTCAATGCCTGCGATGGCACAGAGCTGGCCGTGACCTCTTTCCTCTCCCTGCAGGGCCTGTTCCTCTGTTGAGCTGGAGGAGGAGAAGGTGATGGAGCTGGCCAGGCAGCTGCAGGAGAGTGTCGCCAAGCTGCAGGCGCTCAGGGTGGAGGTGAGGGGTGCCGGCTCCTGGGGGCTGTGGGGCTCAGGGGCTCGGGCCCGACGGCAAGGGCCCCGCTTTGTACCCTAGGGCAAGGAATGTTACTTCCCCAGCCTCAGGGGTCCCATCTCTGCAGCAAATGTGTTGTGAGGGTTAAATGAAATAGTGGATGTGCAGGGCTCAATGGCTTCTAGAATGTTGTGGGTGCTCAGCCCATGTGAAGGGGAGAGGCAGACAGACTGGGCAGCTGTGGGGAGGCTTTCCGAAGAATGGAAGGGATCGGCTTCTTGCAGGCTGTGCACCAGGTCGTGAGGTCTGGGCTTTCACGTGCTTTCTTGCACATGGCCTTCCCAGCAGTCCTTGACCTGTCCTCCTTTTCCTGAGGAGGAGACTGAGGCCCACACAGGCAGCAGTAGCTGGGCTGAGGCTAGAAGCCAGGCTGCTTTGCTTAAAACCGTTTGCTCTTATGTGCCTCTGGTCTTCTGTATCTGATGCGGGAAGGGACTTGGTGCCCCAGGGGCAGGCAGGGCCTCAAGGGCTCCTCTACCTCTGGCTCTGCTGTGCTTTGCACAGCACAAGCAAGACGGCGCCGTGAGCGGGGCCGACACCAGCACCCTGGACCAGAAGCTGCGCTTGGTCATCTCTGACTTCCACCAGCTCGTTGTGGCTTTCCTCCAAGTCTACGACGACGAGCTGGGTGAGTGCTGCCGGCGCCCAGGCCCCTACCTCCACCCGTGTGGCCCCATCGTCCAGGCCGTGTACCAGACCCTCACTTCGTGCAGCCAAGTAAGAATCACCCTTTCCTGCCCCGCTCCCCCCTCCCTTCCAGCCGCCTCTGCAGCCTCCCCCCTCCTAGCCGCGCACATGAGGACAGGGGCCTGGGCCGGGCGTGGCACAGCTAGGCCCTGGCCCTCAGTCTGGGGCCTTGGGCGGGTTGGGGAGGGTGCTTCTCCTGCTGTTGGGGAAGGGGGGAGGGCTGACGCAGATGTCCCCCCAAGAATCCTACTGCACCTCAGGGGGCGTCAGCTGAGCCAAGACCCTGCGCCCCAAAGAGGTTTGTGTCCTGCTGGGTCCTACCTAGTTGACCATCTGGGACCCTTAGCCCAGCCTCTAGCCTTTGTCCCTGCATTGGGATCACTCTGTCTTCACAATATCCCCATATGTATCATGGCGAGTTCATTCTTGTGTATGACCAAGAACTATGCCAGCCAGCCAGCCAGGTGCTTGCCTCTCAGTGCAGTTGACCCAGCTCAGACAGATGGGAAAAAGTAGTCTCACACCGCTCAGCTGACTACGTAAATATTTACCTACTCATTTTGTTGTTCTGCATTTCAGGTCCCTAGAGTCCAACTTAAAACACTGGGTTGGTTGTAATTATGAGTGCAGTTGCCACACATGGAGCTCTGACATTGGCTCAGGGCTTCTGCGACATTGGTCTTGGCTTTTCCCAATTTTAGCTTAAGTGCTGCTGAAGTGAGTACTGTGTTGGTTTGGTTTTTTAACCAGCCTCCGGCCAGCCTGTCCTCCGCAGTTCTGCTGACAGGGTCAGATCGGGTACAGGCCTTTCTCATCGGAAAGGCCCTTCTCTTATCTTGGGGCATCATGGATCTTCCCACTGTGCTAGTGGCTTTGCTCGGCTACTAGTGTGGGATGGGGCACGTAATCGTACGGCATCCCTACTGGGCCTGGAAGAAGGGAGTGACAATGGAAAACGCTGACTGCTGACTCTCTAGCTGTCCTTTGGGGCGAAGGCCACATGCTTGAGGCTCTAGGGAAAAGCACGTGCTCAATGTGAACCCGGGTGGGAAGCAGGAGACGGCTTCTGTGGGTCAGCTCAGCAGCATTTGATGCCTCCGCGCCCCCCCTCTCTCCCTCACAGCTGCTGAGAGCTGTCATGGAGGTCGCCGACACCTCAGCAGAAGCCGTGGAGATGGCGAAGCGGCAGCAGGCCGAGCCCGTCTGGTGGAGCAGCAGCAGCAGCGCCCTCATGAGTCTAGGTATGTTGTCGCCACTTGGTGTGGCTGTGCCCACCCGCTCGGCAGTCAGAGGTGCGGTGGCCCCCCGCACCTTGGCCTCGCACCTGTGTCGTGTGTGACTCCTTCTTGCTCGACCAGCATTTGGGGAGTAGTTGGGGACTGCCCCTTGCTTTCTTCTTCTTCGGATGCGTAAAGTTTTCCTTCCCTTGGAAAAAATGCTTTCTGTAGATTATAAAACAGAAAAAAAGTAATTGTGGGAAATTGGGAAAACCCAAAGATGTGTGGAGGTATAATAAAAACAGTTTGTAGGGGCACCTGGGTGACTCAGTCAGTTGGGTGTCCAACTCTGGCTTAGGTCATGATCTTGCAGTTGGTGAGTTTGAGCCCCGCATTGGGTACACTGCTCTCAGCCTGTCAATACAGAGCCTGCTTTAGATCCTCTGCTCCCCTCTCTCTGCCCCTTCCCTGCTTGTGCTCTCCCCCCCCCAAAAAAAAAACCAAAAACAAAACAAAAATTTAAAAGAAAAGCAGTTTGTGACCTGATGACCCAGAGACGGTTGAGTTAGCATTTTGGTCTGTTTATTCTTTTTCCTCATCATTTTTTATTTCTTTGTGTAACTGTAATCACAACACATATACACTTTTATTTATTTATTTTAATGTTTATTCATTTCTGAGAGACAGAGAGAGCATGAGCAGGAAAGGGACACAGAAAGAAAGGGAGACGCAGGATCTGAAGCAGGCTCTAGGCTCTGAGCTGTCAGCACAGAGCCCGACGTGGGGCTCGAACTCAAAACCCGTGAGATCATGAGCTGAGCTGAAGTTGGACGCTTAACCAACTGAGCCACCGAGGTGCCCCACATATACACTTTTATATTATGTTCTTCTTTCCCTGGGACCATTTTATAAGCATCTTCCTGGGATGCCTGGCTGGCTTAGTGAATAGAGCACACAACTCTTGATCTCGGGGTTGTACGTTCAAGCCCCACGGTGGGCATAGAGCTTACTTAAAACAAGTGTTATTGGAGCGCCTGGGTGGCTCAGTCAGTTAAGCATCCGACTTCGGCTCAGGTCTTGATCTTTGAGTTCATGAGTTTGAGTCCGACGGGTGGACTTTGTGCTGACAGCTCAGAGCCTGGAGCCTGCTTCGGGTTCTGTATTTTCCTCTCTCTCTGCCCCTCCTCCACTCGTACTCTGTCTCTGTAAGAAATAAACATTAAAAACAAACCAAAAAAATACGTTAAAAATGTTCTAAACATTTTCCCATGTTCTCGAAGTAGCATTTTTAAAAGTTTATTTATTTATTATTTTGAGAGAGAGAACGGGCTCATGAGCCAGGGAGGGGCAGAGAGAGAGGGAGAGAGAGAATCCCAAGCAGGCTCTGTGCTGAGCCTGATGTGGGGCTTGAGCTCCCAAACCATGAGATGATGACCTGAGCCAAAATCAAGAGCTGGAAACTTAACTGACTGAGCCACCCAGGCACCCCTTGAAGTAACCTCTTTTATTGTGAAACGCTATTCTATTCATGTATTTGCTTAATTTTTGTAATTTGCTTAACATTTTATGTTATTGAGCCTGTAGGTCATTTTCAGCTTTTTACTATTATATATAATGCTGGTATAAGATTAACAGTAGTGAAAACCGGAAACAATCCAAAGTTTTAACACCGGGTACCGCTTGGGTGAGTAATGGTGGGGGTCGTAGTTGCTGTTTCAGAAATGGGCTGTGATGACATGACCGGTAAAGGGAAATGCAGGGCAGCGTGAGCTTCTGTGAGCTCAGCAGTGTGGCAGAGCCCTGGCAGGGAGCGAGTGGCACGCAGACACCAAGTGTCAGCAGCAGGGGCAGGGACAGTCTAGTCCACTCGTGGCTCCTCCATCCTGCGCCCAGTCTTCAGACTTGGCTTTGCACACACAGCTCACTTATGTACGTCACAGTCTGTTCAGGAGATGCAGAGTGTCCCCGTGTTAGATCGCGTCTACGACGCGGGTCTTGGCGTCACAGCAGGGAGGCCCACCTCCATCGCTAAGGCCGTGCGGTGGCCATCTTCCTGTGTCCTCATCAGTGCTAGATTGGGCCTTTCTGGCATTTCTGTCATTGGATGAGCCAAAAGCATGTCTGCATTTAGTTTCAATTAAAGTTTTTGTTGAGTGCATTTATAGTTTTATTATGGAATTATGCATTCAGGAAAGATCTTTTTTTTTTTTTATACAAAAGACAGTGTTTAGGGAGGAACCTGAGCTCATAGAGATGGAAATATGAAATAATCGCACCCCCACCCCTGCCGTGCTCAGGCGCCCCCTTGTCCCAGGTTGTGTGTCTCCTCCTGTCGACAGCTACCTGCTATCCTGACTCAGTGATAATTAGGTCTCTGTGAGACGCATCTACCATGTAGGTCTCTGTAATCGGTCCATTTCCAACGCTCAGCCAGAGAGTTCACCACGTTTCCTTCTACTTCACTTCCTGCTTGCTCGAGCCTCAAGGTCAGCCAGAGGCGATTGCACGGGTCCTTGTCAGGTCTCTCCTGGGTGTGAGCATGGCTGTGGGTGCGCACCTGACCTTCTACCCTGCTGGGATCCAGAACTCCTCACTCCTCAGCCCCTCCTCCCCAGCTCCGGCTCTCAGCCTCTGCCCCAGGCGGTAGCAGTGACGGCATTTGCCTACCAATGTGTTCCCTCCCCCTCCCCCCAGCACAGCCCCAAGGCATGGCTCTGGGTCACAGATCTTCTGAGCCACCCCTTAGCATAGACTCTCCAGCCAGCCCTCTCCTCAGGCAGCCGGCACTGGCCTTGGCACGAATACTTGCCACATGTATACCAGGCACTCAAGGGTCTCTCTTCTTCCTGACTGAGCCCCACAAAATCATCCATTTTAAGACTCGTCTTCATGTTTTTCCTAGTCACTATTATCACGATGACTTTCCCCTCGCACTGGGTGTAATTGCTGTTAATAAAATGCTTCCTGAACCATGGTATCATTAATAGAACAACGGTCACTATTGCCCGTTGCCATGTACCATGTCAGCTGACTGCAGGGCTGCTGGGTGCACAGAACTGCTTGCCCACCCTCGAGACCCAGGCCCTCTCAGGAGGTCTGGACAGTAGCGAGGGAAAGCGCCATGCCTGGTGCGCAGGGGCAGGGCTCGGCTCTCATCGCTGCACCTTCTACATTTTATTGGAGATGAGTTCTTAGGCTGCAGATGCATCAGAGAAGCCGTTCATACCACCTCCATGCCAAGGCCAATCGGAACGGCCTTCCTGCCTTCCCTGTTCCCACCAGACAAACTGAGGGCCTTGGCCTCCGTGACCTCCTCGGGCTCTGCAGCCGGGGAAGGTGTGTGCGATCGTGCCACTTCCCTTCCCAGTATAAGAAGCCCAAAATGAGGGGCTTGAGTGAGGGGCTGTGTGTGCCTGCCAGGCCTGGGTCCTGAGCCATGCCCTGGCGTGCACGGACAGGGCCCCGGTGACATGGGGCGGGCAGCCCACCCCGTCGTCATTCACCAGTCAGCACGTCGACTAGGTGGACCCGAAGTCCCATTTGCCTCGGTGCTGAGAGCGATGGAGGGGAGCTGACAGCCCAGCATGGGTGGGTGGATGGTAGCAACTGGTTACATGTGACGGGTGGAGAAAGCCACAGCCCAAGGAAGAAGGGGCAGCCTGTCTGCTAGAAGGGCCACGGCCCCAGACAGGGGCAGTGCTGCGCAGGCTGGAAGCAGAGTGCCGGCAAAGCGGGTGTGTACAGGTCGGAGCTGCCAGTGAGGCCTTAGCCTGCTGTTCTGTACAGAAAATGATTGTAATGAATGGCAGCCCCTCCCCACCCCACATGTGGCTGGCAGCTCAGGAGAAGCCTGGCTTTGTCGCCTCGTGCCCTGCAGAGCTCCTGCTGGGGAACTGGGGAACGCCTCGGGAACCAGAGTGGAGCGGGGAGGGGGGAGTGGCCTCCTCTCCCCAGCCTGGACCAACCCATGGAAGAGAGAAGAGAGACCTGGAAAAGCAAGGCTAATGGGTCATTCAGAGAAGTGAACTTTTCAGCAAACCCTAACCCAGAAAACTATGAAAGACCAACAAAGAGAAAAACAAGCAAACACTCTTAGAGGATAAACGTGTTGAAAAACATCAAGGGAAAGAGCCCTGTGGGGGGCGGGACAGCAGGAGCTGCAACAAATCTATGAGTAGAGAGAAAAGAGACAGGTAAGCAAAGTGATGGCGAGCAGAAGCAACCTCGGGGCAGGCCCTGCAAAGGAAGCGAGGAAGGAAAATATAGGGCGGAGGTGACTGAATGCAGTCTGATGGGGTGAGTTTCCAGATTTCAAGCGCAGAGCAGATGGAACCGAAAATACGCATCCCTAGGTCCAGTGCTGGGGTCCAGGCTTGCAGAGAGAAAGCCGGTGGCCTCCAGAAATTAATGCATTAATGCGTTGCACATTCGGAAGGCTGGGGGCTTCTTGCCTAAAACCAGAGCCCAGACAGCTCTGAGCCACGAGAGCCCAGGACAGAGGGGAGAGGTGTGGACTGAGGGAGCACCCAGGGCTGAGGCGGCCCGCAGAAGGCAGAGTGGGGCTGGAGTGGGGCTCGAGGTGGGGACGGCCTGTGGATTTGGGAAAAGGCAGATTACACCCAGAGGGACCTAGGAAAAGCCCATCTGTGAAGTGTGGTCAGGATGGTAAACTTCACCCAGTGGGAGCACTGGTGACAAGTGGGGAGGGTCGTGGGGGCCCATGATTCCTGAGCCTCAGAGTCCTCCAGATAGGCAGGACCAAATGTCAGTGAAAGAGCTTGCCGTATGAGAGGGCAGAGGAAGGGGTAGGCATCTATTTAAGTTAAGGCAGAGCCCCGAGTGGGACCCAGAACCCCCAGGGCGGGGGAGGGGTGTGAGTGAAAGTCCCTTTATGTCATGCCCAGCGGTCACTGTCTCAAATTGGCACCTTAAGAGGCAGGCGCGAATTACGATGGCGTCCCCTTTCCCTGAGAGCCAGGTGGCAGGTCGTGGCAGTTGCCTGCTGGGTGGAGGGGCAGCTAAGGCACGTGTCATTTGATTTGCTTGTGTGCATGGGCTTACTGTTCTGACTGATAGGGAGCGCACCTGGGCTCTGGTGGGGGCGGGCATGGACACGGCCTAGCGAGCGGAGCCTGCCCTGGGGCTCGGCCTGGCACCCACAGGGCCACCTCCTGGCTTGGCGGTACCTGGGACACGCTGGGAATTGGGTGCCCGGGCTGCAAGCCCTTTGAGCACCAGGTGCAGGCGGGCCTGGGACCGGAGGAGAACTAGTGAATAACAGTGTAGGCCTGGCTGGGGTGGGCGGGGGGGGGGTATGTGGAAAGTGGCCTTTTGTGGGCCAGGAAGCTCTAGGAGTCACTTTGCTGTTTGTATTTTGTTTTCTCTCCGCAGCCACAAAAATGGAGGAACTAACTGAGAAATACAAGATCTTCAATGACAGTCTGAAAGACGTGCAGTAGTCTGGGGGCAGGAAGCTCTGCCCTGAGGAGCAGGGGGGTGGGGGCGGGGGTGGCGCAGGGCCAGCCCCGACAGGAGAAGCAGTCACAGCCCCGTGCTCTGCGGGAGCAGCCCTGTCATCCGCCTGGGACAGAAGGAGGAAGAGGGCAGACTTGAGCTGGACAGAAAGGGAAGCTCGGGTTCCAAGTCCGCCTCCCGACCTCCTCCTCCTCTCTGCTGTCTGGCTGAGGCTGAGGGGGCCGGGGCTCCCCACTGCTCAGTCCGCCCTTCTCCCCGTGATGGTGCCCCAGGTCCCGGGCTATGGGCTTCCTGCCGTCCCAGGCGGCCTTGGCCGTGCCCTCTCCCTCCCTATTTGCCTCAAAGCAGCTCCCATCGCTTCTGTTCCTGCCCCTGTCCCCACCTGGTGAAACTTGGGGACACAAAGCCCCAGAAGTCTCCACCTCACTGTGGCACCCGACTGCCGCACTGCCATCTCCACTGTGACTGGCTTCGGGGTCCCACATGAGGACTCCCTGCAGACCGTGGGCCCAGCCTCCGGCACCCAGCGCGTCTGAAATCGAGGGGGCGGGGCACGTGTTTCCTCCTCCCTCCCCAGGGCTCCCTGCACTGGCCTGGGAAATTCTTGCCAGTGGCCTGACTGGTTGTCCGGGAAGCTGCTCTCTGGGCTTCCCAGGGTGACCCAGTATCTCCCTGAGCAGTGTGCCTGTCACGGCCACCTCCCTCCCTCCAAGCATGGGAACAGGCACAACTGGTGGGGCCTCTGCCTCCCTCAGCCCAGTGGCAGGCCGGAAGGGACTCCTGGAGGGGCCTCCCTCTAAACTCGTGGCCCACTGCGCGGGCCCACCCCGGCTGCGAAGCTCACCTGCTCCCGCGCCTCCTCTTCCTCAGCCTCCCTGAGGCTGCTCCAGACGAGGAGGCTGCTGTGGGAGGAAGGACGGCTGGGCCTAGGGTCACCATTGCCCAGTTGCACCAGCAGCTTCACAGTCCAGGGGACTCCTGAAGGCCTGTGGGAGGCAGGCCGCGGCCAGCATCTTGGTTGCCTCCCCGTGGCCCTGGTGGGAGGCGGGGCCCGTGGGCACCCACCACCAAGGGCTGGCATATCTTGCCCCAGGACGAGATCCTCAGGATGGTGCCACCCACTTTCTGGCCAGGAAAGGGCCTTCTTGCTCTCTACTCCTCTTGAACGTGCCCTTTACCCTTGACTGAGCCAGGTGGGCTGGGAAGGCCCTAGAGCCTGGGTTGGGTGGCGCTGGGCTTCACATCCAGTCCCGTGCTCCTGGGGCTGGGGGTGCTGCTGAGGCAGTCTCGTACCCCCACCCCTTCGTCACTTGGTGGGGTCGCCTTGGCTCAGTTGGAGCCCGCCTGACTTGCCAGGTCGGGCTTCGCCTCTCTTCCTCCTTCCTGGCAGCCTCTGCTAAGGGTCTCTTACATACTATGGGTCATTGCACCTGTGAAACAGATGCCATCTCCCCTTCCTGGTGGGGACGAGCTTGTGAGACGTGTGAGCCATAGCCAGGCAGCGCGGAGGCCACCCCAAGACCACTGCGGTGACACCCAGGTCCCATCCTGAGCGCGCCCTTCCCTTTACTGGCTGAGCCTGGCTTGTGCAAGCACCTCTTTGCCACTCCTGGGCTCACTTTACCCTCACGAGGGGCCACTGGGTCCCCTGTGACCCAGGTGGAGCGGTGCGCTGGAGAGGAAGACTTGCCCCCTTGGTGGGAGGGGCCTCAGCTCGGTTGCTGTGTCCTGGCCCTGCTCAGACTTGGAAGCAAGGCTGGATGGAAGGCTTGCGTTTGCTCCGCGTGCCTGTGATGACACGTTCCTCCAGCCCACGGCTCAGCTTGTGGGGAGCCTTGCGTGTGGCCCGGGAGCCTGCTTTCCAATCTGTAAACATGGGGCGTATGTCTCGGCAGCTGTGCGTGAGCGAGGGGGTGGCAAGCCGGCCGCACAGGTCCTGCGGCCTTAGGCCTCCTCGTTGCCCAACAGGCGGCTGGGGGCGGGCCATGGCCACTGATTAAAGGCCGCCTGGAGCAGCCTGTGTGGAGACAGGTGCCCAGCAGCCCAGGAGGCCGGCCAGCACCCGCCCCAGGTAAGCCGGCCAGCAGGGTTGGCGAGGGCAGCTGCCGGGAGCCCAGACACAGGTGGCCAGGTTGGGGAAGGCACTTGTGCACAAGGGAGAAGCCAGGGGAGGCTTGGCTGCCTGTTTCCTGACAGCTGGCCCAGGGTGCTGTGCCTGAGGCTCCTAGCTAAGGTGTCTCAGTGAAAATGCTATCCTGCGCTGGCACATCCCTGGTCCCTGATGACATGGACCTGCCGCGCTTTGCCTCTTCTGTGCCTGGAGGCAGGCAGCAGAGGCCTCTGGGCTGGGATCTGGGCACGTCAGGCCTACCTTTTGCTGTTTACTAGCTGGTAGCAGTGATGGTGGCCAGGGAGGGACTGGGGCACAGAATGGAGAGGGTGACGAGGCCCTAGGAGGCCTCACCCTCGACAAAGGGGTTGGAGCAGTGGCCATGGGGTTGGCTGTGTGTGGCTGGGCCCAGGCATCCCCATCACTTTGGCCCTCAGGTTTTGTGCCTCTTGCTCTGGCAGCTTTAGGCTCTGCTGTCCCTGTGAGCACATCACCATGTCCGAGGTGCCCCGGGCTGAGACTTTCATCTTCTTGGATCTGGAAGCCACTGGGCTCCCCAATATAGATCCCGAGGTGGCCGAGATATCTCTGTTTGCTGTGCACCGCTCCTCCCTGGAGAACCCAGACCGAGATGAGTCTGGTGTCCCCGTGCTGCCCCGAGTCCTGGACAAACTCACGCTGTGCATGAGCCCAGAGCGTCCTTTCACCGCCAAGGCCAGTGAGATCACCGGCTTGAGCAGTGACAGGCTGGCCCGGTGCCGGAAGGCGGGCTTTGACGACGCCGTGGTGCGGACTCTACAGGCTTTCCTGAGCCGCCAAGAGGGCCCCATCTGCCTCGTGGCCCACAACGGCTTTGATTATGACTTCCCCCTGCTGTGCACAGAGCTGCGGCGCCTGGGCGCCCACCTGCCCCCGGACACCGTCTGCCTGGATACACTGCCTGCGCTTCGGGGCCTGGACCGTGCCCACAGCCATGGCACCCGGGCCCAGGGCTGTAAGGGTTACAGCCTGGGCAGCCTCTTCCGCCGCTATTTCCAGGCCGAGCCGTGTGCAGCCCACTCAGCTGAGGGTGACGTGCACACCCTGCTCATGGTCTTCCTGCACCGGGCTGCTGAGCTGCTTGGCTGGGCAGACGAGCAGGCCCGGAGCTGGGCCCACATTGAACCCATGTATGTGCCGCCTGACGGTCCGAGCCTTGAAGCCTGAATGCCAGCGGGCCGGTGATGCCACCACCCAGGGGCATGAGGCCCACCCCCAGCACCATGGGCAGCGCCAGCGCTGACCGTTCAGTCAGGCTCTGAGGCCTGGAGCTGGTCGTGGACTGGTGTCCCACTGTCCCCGTCCCCGTCCTCGGAGCCGGCTAGCCCCGGGCCTGCGTGCCTTCCGGGCCTTCTTCCTTCCCCGGGCCTGCCCAACTTTGTAGCCCCGGAGCTTCCTCGCAGCCCGAGCCCTGGCCTGTGCTCCAGGGGCTTGCTGCTGCAGGCTCCTACCCCTCACCTGGCATCTCAATAAACATCAACAGCTACTCACCAGCTGAGCTTCCGCTTTCCCTCTACGCCCTGCCCAGAGGGAGCAGGCCAGGAGCTGGGCCGGGGGCTGGAGCGGAGCCCCCTGGGGCCGCCTCCTTGTGGCCTAGCCTTCCATAGGCCCAGTGGGTGGGTGGCGGAGCAGTCGGTGCTCACAGGCTCGCCCAGGGGGCTGACAGGCAGAGGCTGTGGTCCCGAGCCACGGGCTTCCTCCCTGGCTGGTCTACTGTTGTCTCGGCTCTCATCCCCTCCCTGCGTTGTCACCCTGGAGGCCCACGAAATGAGTGCACAGGGCCTTAGGAACATGTGCCTAGGTCCCGAGTCTGTGCTGGGGAGGGAGATGGAGGAGAGCCTCCAGGGAGCTTGGGCTTTCTCAGCTCGGGGAGCTGTGTCCACAGAGCCGAGCGCCCGCCTGGGTGCAAAGCCCAGCTCCGGTACTCGCCCCCTGTGGACCCTGAGCAACTCCTTCCTCTCCTGGAGCCTCTGTCCCTGCTCTGCAAGGTGGCAACAGGATGAAATAAGGTGCTCGCTCAGAGCAGCACAGTGGGTGGCGTGCTCCGGGTGCTGGAGAATTCGGAAGTGCCCGCATTCACGCACAGGCACATATGCAGAAAGAGCCCAATATGTGCAGGTCGAGCTCCAGGAAGGGCCGCTGCATGTGGGGCGCGGGGTACCTGTGGTGCGCAGGAGAGGTGGGGTGGCCGGCGCAGTGGGGGCAACCCCTGGGAAGGAGTTTGTCCTGGGCCGTGTCCCCTGTGGCTTGGCCCGATGACGGCCAGGAGGCTGCTCTGTGGGGAGGGCAGCTTCTCAGTAGCTGCTTCTGCTGGGCTTTGAGGAGCCAGCTAACCTGCCTCTGGGGCCCCACCTGTGTGACCAAACGATGGGGCAAGGCAGGGGCGGGTCGTCTGGGAGACAGGGAGAGCAGGTGAGAAGGGGTGGGGTGGGTGGGGCGGCCACGCCCCAGAGACTCGCCTGAGCAAAGCCTTGAGCCTTGAGCCCTGAGCCCATTCAGGATACCCTAACTAGGTCAGGGTGACTAGTGCCACTGCAACGTGGAAGGGAGAAGAATGCTGAGGCCAGAACACAGGCAGTGGCCATCTCAGGTCATTCCCATTGCCCAGACCAAGGTGTCTGGACCGACCCTGAGGACAATGAGGAGACACACAGAGCTGCACCCAGAAGAGGGGCAAAATCTGATTTATGTTCTCCCCAGTGCCTCTCCGGCTGCTTTGTGCAGGATGGACTAAAGCAGGCCTCGAACGGGGAGGATGGCAACCGAGGGAGAGAGAAACAGTGGGGTCGGGGTTCTGTTGCAAGGAGAGCCGCTGGCCTGGCCAAGGACAGAATGGTGGGGTGGGGTGGGGGTACACGGTAAGGGAAAGACCTAGAGGGGGCTAGTTGGGGAGTGTGGCCTGTGCACCGCTGAGCTTCCTGAGAAAGGCTGGTTGGCTCCCTGCCCCTGTGGGCACCCACCTCGAAGAGCGCCCCAAGGCCAGGCCAGAGAAGAGCCTTCCCCAGGCCCGCGCTGAAAGAGTAGGGGAGGCCGCCAGGCTTGAGGCAGCCAGGAACCCTCAGGTCCTCTGGTGCCCAAGCAGGTCCAGGTCCCCTTTACCTACCTGGCCACGAAGGTCCCTTCTCAGTCGCTGGGCAAGTCAAGAGGGGCTCAAGTCCAGGCCCCGGGTGCGCAGGATGACAGCCTGGTCTTTGGCCACTGCCACTGCCCCAGAGCGGTCTCTGGGTCCAGATGCCTCTCTCTCAGCACTCTGGGCTTGCCTGGCCTCTCGGTGGCCTGGCCTCAGGCACCCTCCCTAGGCCCATGCTTGGCGGGCCAGGCTGCACGTCACGTCTTGTGCACCAGACAGGTGGGCTGGGGCCGGCATGCTGCCGCCGGAAAGCAGCAGTGTGCTCAGAGGCGGGAGACAGCAGCTTTCCCGGAAAGCAAACGTAAACCCAGGAAGGGGTATATTTGTGGATGTAGGTATATGTGTTTCTCTCTCTCTCTCTCTCTCTCTCTCTCTCTCACTCTGTCTCTCTCTCTGTACATGCACACACGTACATACATAAATAAGTTTATTATAAGTCTTATCGGTATGAAGGATGTGAATACACAATGTACAAATAATAAAATACAATGCACATGCAATATGTACAATAAAATGCACAATACACTGTTTATAAGTTCCATGTGGCCAAAGTTTCACAAAATCCCTTACAAATCTTAGAAAATTCTTACAAAATCCCTTTATTGACTTTCGCTGAACTTTTTTTGTATCTATACCCAACCCATGATTGCAGCTGGTGAATGAGTGTGGTTCCTACATAAATGTTGGTTGCTATTTTCATTTATCTTAGTGAGTAAGAGGAAGTGAAACAGCAGAGATGTATGTGGGAATGTCACTCATTCATTGGTGACACAAGCGACATCTTTGTTGAATTGGGTAATGGTTTTTGATATTGGAAGAGTATTTCCTTCTTGTTTTGTTTTTGTTTTTTGCTAGTCACCTGACGTCATCAAATGTTGAGTTGGGAAGAGATTCACCATGGCGTACTGTAATGTACGTCCCTACCAAATGGGAGTCAATGCATACATAACAGTAAAGTGTGGTGAAATACAATGTGACGGGTTTTGAGTATCTCCTTTGTTTTTAATATAATTTAAGTGGAAGTTCATATAATTTCACTTCTAATAATGGTGGTGCTCCCCAAATTCCCCAACATTTAACGTCTATTAGAATGGCTAAAATATAAAAGACCGCCCATACCAAGTGTTGACGACGATGTGGAAGAACTGGTGGCAACGTAAGATGACACAACCACTTTGGAAAACAGTTTGGCTGTGTCTTACCCAACAGACATGAGTTTATGTGTCCACACAGAGGCTCGCACGTGACTGTCCACGGCAGCGTTATTCATTGCAGTCCTAGACCGGAAATAACCCAAGTGTCTCTCAGCAGCGCATCCGTACCACGGCACCCTGCCGGACAGTGACAGCGAGCACTTGAGACACAGCAGGTTTGCGGGGGGGGGGGGGGGGGGGGGGGGGGGACACTCAGACCCACAGAAACAACTCCACTGCTCCAGCTCACCCTGGCCAGCCACCTGCCTGTCCTCAAGATGTGTCACTGGCTTAGAAGCCACATCAGTGTCTGCCAATGGGGACATGTCTGGGATCAGGAGCATACCTGGGGGACACGACACAAGCCAATTGAACATGGAATTATCAGTGCAGAGGGATGAGAACCAAAGTAACGAGGCCGGGAGCATTCTCACCTTGTCTTCATGCAGGAAACAAAGTGGTGAGGACAAAGTGTGAAGCAGGAGACAGGAGGCGGCTGGCCCTCCAGCCATCGTTTCTTCAGGAAGCCACTGGCTGTTTGTGTTTTCTGTCAACAAGGCTTGGCCTTGTGTGGGACTCATACAGGGCACACGAATGCGTGGAAAAGAGATTCATATTGTGGATCCCTGACCCCGAGAGCAGTGTCGACATTGTGGGGACCCTGCTTTCTGCACCCCAGCTCGCACACATGCACCTCCCCCGTCACATGTTCCTCCCCATTCACACCCACACCCTGACTCACACGGGTGTGCAAACACACCCTCCCCACAGACACCCTCCCACGTACTTAGATGCGCCTCATTCACACACGGGTGCTAACGATTCTGCATAAATGGGATCTCCTTAGATTCTGCTTACAAATATCGTACGCACTTCTTTGTTGTTTCAGGGGATATAAAGTCAGTTTTCTCGAGGGGTTCAGGTGCACTGCTATAATTCTCCCTGTTTCTTCAGTGTTTGCAGTGGTCTCTCCTTCCTCATTTATACGTTTCATTGGGCTTTTCAAGGAAAAAAACCCAGGACTGTGATCATCCTCTTTCCCTCTCTCTCTCTCTCTCTCTCTCTCTCTCTC